TGACCAGAATGACCGGAACTGCTCAGCTGGCTGGCTGGGAACTCCCCGTTCCGGCTGTGCCTTAATAAACTGTCTCGGTGCTGGCTACTGGTTTGGGCCTCCTGCCCCCTGGTGGCGGCGGTTTGCGCTCTCATTATACACATTTGCTGATAATTCTGGGTCCTGTGAAAAGCTGGAACATGTACCCAGAAAGACGAGGAAATGGATTTGGTAGTCTTTGCCACATGTATTTCTTTAAATATTGTACAAATAAACTGCCTTTGTCTTCACTGGTACAAAGATTTTTAAAAACATTCAAGATATTTTTCAAATTATATTTTAGGATAGAATACAAATGCCAATAATTTAAATCAGAACACCTGATACTGTACTACATGGTTTGATTGAGCTAGAAAAAAATGGAAAACTTCACAGAAACAATGTTTGAATCCATTTATACTGCAATTCAGAAATCTTTTCAGAAAAATTAACTGTATATTTCTACGTGAATAACAGTTATGTTCGATTCTTTTTATTGTTTGGGGTTTTCAGCAAAGGATCAAAGGCCAAGAACAATAAAACAAGGACCACAGACTCAGGGATTGTAATGCCAAGGCCAGGTGCATGACCACCTATGCAGGAGGTGCTAAGATTTGGAGAAGCTGGTTTTGCCCACCTCAGCTTATCTCTATTTTGAAATTGTAAAAGAAAACTTACATGCTGATTGGGGAGGACAGGGCGGGTTGACAGTGTAAAGGGTGGTGATAGGTTTGGTGGTGTGCAGGGGTGCCTCCCTCTCCCGGTCCCTTGGGGAAGGAAAAGGGAGCTGCCTCCTTGCAGTTTCAGCCAGCTTCACCGTGAGCACGGGAGACAGGTGCCCCCTAAAGACTGAGGGACTTGAGGTCTGAAAAATCTAAAGTGGAAAGGCAGTAGATGTTGCTGCCCAGCTGGTGACAAGGCAAAAGTGCGTTGCTCCCCCGGCAGAGAGCTGCCCCTCGTCAATGACAGGGCTTTGCATTTTCTGAGCACCCCGGGGAAAGACGCCAACACACAGTCATCTCAGAGCTGGAGCTTAAGAATTTACATCTCTAGCAAGCTCCCAGGTAATGCCGAAGCTGCTGGTCAGAGGACCCTCCTTTGAGAAGTGCTGCCTTAGACCACCTCTGCGAGAAACGTGGTCCCCCCAGGCCTTCTCTCTAACAGCCACCGACAGGTGCAATAGTGGCTGTTGACAACTACACACCCAAACGTCCTGTAGCCTGTGGGTTTGACCTACATCAGAGTTGCTGTTTATAGACACCTAGCTCCTCCACATACTGGTTCTAAGCGGAACATCGTTTTATAAAATGGGCAGAAGAGAACAAACATCATAGGTATTTGTACAGACTTGCTGTTGTTAGGTGTCCTCGCGTTGGCTCTGAGTCAATGGCGACCTTGTTTATAACAGAACCAAACGTTGCGGGGTCATTATCATGTTCCAATCCATTGTGGCAGCTATTTCGTAGGGATCACTGCTTTCTGTGACGGGCATTGAATTTTTCCGTGACAGCTTTGTTCAGATGCGAGGTGCGATCAAGAGTTAAGGCTTCTCTCCTTGCTTCTCCGTTGGTTCCTCACTGTGGGGCCTTTTGCAAAGTTTAGTCACGTTTTGTACACACAGCTGAAAATGCAAGGATAGCAATGAACAATGTGTAAAACCGTTGATTGCTGCTGTTGCGTGTACTGAACAGTGTCTGCAATAACTCGATCGCTCCGAAGGGGGCACTGTTGTACTACATTTACTTGTGTGCCGGCTACTGCATTTCTGAATGGTCCCTGTAAGGATACGTAAAAGAAAGTGCAGAAGTTTGATGATGCCTTACCCTTCACTTCTTACGCTCTTACTGATATGTGGAGGCGACACCTTCGAAGCTTCTGTTGTCTGGAGCTAGACGGAGTCTTTAAAATGGTTTGATGCGTCGCCTTTCGGACCCAGAGATACACGTGTTCCAGCTATTGCATCTAATTGTGCCTTAGATTTAAGAAAGCCAGTTGCCATTGAGTAGATTCTGACTCATGGCAACCCCATGTGTGTCAGAGCAGAACTGTGCTCCACAGAATTTTCAACGGCTGATTTTTCTGAAGTAGATCGCCAGGTCTTTCTTCCGAGGCACTGCTAGATGGACTCAAACCGCCAACCTTTTGGTCAGCAGTCTGGCACGTTAACCGTTTGCACCATCCAGGTGCTTCCTAGATTTAGGAGGTCCAGCTTTTTAAGTTTTTTTTAAGTCAGTTTTACAAAGGAGGATTTATTTGGTATAAATCTGTTATGAAAGATACTATCATTCACTTTGGGACATTTAGAAAATGTGAACATGCAAAGCTGCTTTTCTGCACCGTCCTGCACGTTCTGTTTGGCCATATTAAATACTGAGATAATCCAGGGAATATCTATTAAATCACAAAATGCCATTGCGGCTAATCATATTCTATGATTATATAGGTTATTCAGATTAAAATTAAAATAAATTAATGACAAAACTAGATGTAAAAAAAAATCACCCTTTCACAGATACGGTGTGAAATTTTTATAAAAGCTAAGGTATACGTAGTAAAATCTTCTCAATTCAGTACTGATTAATTCAAAAGCGCATCAAACTGAAGCATGTTTATCTTATAGTCATATTGCTAAGATCTCTCCAGTATTTACTTGGAATAATACATAAAATATAATTCAATACAGGGGAAAACCCCAAGGTGAAGTGTGATTTGTTAATTAGCTCTGAACAGACTCCTATAAGCAAAAGTAAATGATGACTAGTCAGAGTGGAGGAGCTGACTGTGTTTGTAAAGAACACTTTCCTTTCGCTCTTTAAAACCTTTAAGTCCTCTCAAGGATTAGGATCATACTTTAAGTATTCTACTCTCTTACAAATGAAATTATAGGATCTTAATCTTCAAACTGGACGGGAAATTAGGAAGAATCTCCAGTTCTCAAGCTTTTTCCTCAGGGCTGTTGACACTCCAACTGTTAATGATGAATTCCAAGGAGAGAGAAGTAAAAACGAAGGGCAGGGAGAAAAGACAATGCCTTTATTAAGAAGGCAAAATTCCAACATCCCAGTAGGAATCTGGTCACATCTCCTTGGTCAAAAACGAGTCATTTCTCCACCTCTGCCAAGAAAGGTGTCAGGGAAGATTGGAACGGTAGCTTCTAGCTGGGCTCATTGCCAACCCTATTAACATGTCTGTTAATAAGAAAGAAATGAAGGACAGCTATTCTCTTCCACAACCTCTCTGTCATAGCCTCTGCCAAAATCTGCTTCCTTATCAAGACGAGGTAAGAAGCCCAGAGAGATTAAGCAACTTTACTCATGTTTCAAAGTTGGTGGTGGACTTTATGTAACATATTCCCATCGTTCAATTGTGTATGTGCGTTGGGAATGGGCGAGGGACAGAGGAGAGTGGTCTTCTGAAGTTCTAAAGACTTTGCTGACTTTAAAAAGGACTAAATAATGTAAAGAATCATGGATAATTAAAAGTTTAGCACATCAATTCACCTCTCATAAGAGCTTTGTGATTTTATTTTCCTGTGGAAATTATGCAAGCAAAAATAAAGAGCCAATTCTTAACACAGAAGTGAAATGATACTGGAGCTAGAAATTGAAATTTCTTTTTAAATTCTCATGGAATCCAGACTTTCTGGAGTCATTGCTGCTAGATGAACCACCAAAACTATTGCCCTGAGATAAGTTTTAAACCTTAAATTTCAAACCTAAAATATCCCCTGGAGCCTTCTTTGAGCCAAACAATAGCTTAGCTTCATTAGTAAAGAATGTCTGCCTTGAGCATTATGCTCTTTTAAAGAATTATCTATATGGGATCAAATGGATAACAGCAACTTGAAAGGTTAGGTAGGAAGCTTAGGGCGCAGTGGGATTGTTAATGTGTTGGAATAATTTGGAAAAGGAGGGTGAGAACGGTTGCACAACTTGAAGAATGTAATCAGGGTCACTGAATTGTACATGTAGAAATTGTTGAATTGGTGTATGTTTTGTTATATATATTTTCAACAACAAAAATAAAATAAGTTTTTTTTTTAAATTTACTTCTTTAAGAATCTATTACTTTAAATAATGGACACATTCCCTGAAATAAACCTGAACTTACTAATGTAAAACGGTGGCCCTCTTCCTCTTGCAGACTGCGGGGACTGCCCCCAACTTTCTGAGGAGTAGGACTGAAGGGCAGTGGTGGTGACAGGGTGGCAAGAACAAATTGGGATTGCTCAGCACATGTCCATTGGTTGCCCGGATAATAAAATTTGTTTTTCTAGGCAAAGAGTTGTAAACAGACAACGCTGACTTTCTCTCCCAGATACCAACCAGCCATTTAAATCCTTGTTAAATGTATACAGTCAAGAATGCAACACTATATCAGGTTGTATTTTAATCCAAGAGGAGAACGTTGCCTATTATTACTTATAACCCCTTACTCTCACCTTAAAAAACCAAACCAAACCCATTGCTGGCAAGTCGATTACACTCATGGCACCAGGCCTTTCTTCCATGGAGCCGCTAGGTAAGTTCGAGCTGACAACCTGTAGGTTAGCAGCCAATGGGAAACACATGTGCCTCCAGGCTCCTTCTACACTTACCTTACTAGGGACTTAAAACCTGGTACCACAGAGCAGCGCAGTGATATGCACACACCTGAACAGAAACATTTTCTAAAATTGTAGAATATTAAAACTACCCATTCATGTTAAAGTTGAGGAAACTATGACCTGGCAAAACAGAAATGACTTAACTCATTCGGAGAAAACGAGATTATATTTGTTTTCATTTTAATATATATTTAAGTTATACATACCTTAAATTTTATCTTTCCAAATATGAAGACTTTTAAATATTATAGTGTCATCTGAAATTGCAAATATTTAATGTTTCCTTTTCACTAATGAACTATGCCTAGGAAGTAAACAGGGAGTGAAATTTCTTGGTTAAAAATTCAGTTTCTTATGATTTTTTTTTTAACTGCAGTGGGAGAAACTACAGATGACCACGAGTGAAAGGAGGAAAATCTTCTGCTCTGTCACATTCCACGTAATCGCAATCACCTGCGTGGTCTGGTCCTTGTATGTATTAATAGACCGGACAGCGGAAGAAATCAAGCAAGGCAACGATAATGGTAAGAGCACGTCTGTGGCCTTTTTTCCTCTTGAATGAGAACGACAAGATCCAGAGGTGGATAGGGGGCTAGTCCCCAATTTAGGTCTTCATTTATGACACGGTAGCAAAACCATTCCCAATACCGGCAGTTGAGTTTCCTCTAATTATGTTATTAATATTCTGAGTATAAAGCGATGAATATATAAGGTCCCAAATTAAGATGTGAGATTTATCAAGTCTGTGTAAAACTTGGTAGGAAGAAATCCATAGATGTCATATGCTACATCAAGTTTCTCAGGAGCTGAGTAAGGACCAGGTTCTGCCTGCTGTGAAAAACACAGACCGTTGGGGGGAGAGGGGGGAGGTTGTCTTTGTCTCTTTTAAAGCATGAATAAGATGAGAATGTTTTATAACATTAGTATGTACTATATATTTCATAGAGCGGATTAACATTATGATTTGAAATTTTAGCCACACTAAGTTTGATTTTGAAGGATGGTGTCAAGTGTGCAAAGAAAGATGTTTAAAAATCATTATGAAAATTGCATTAATTAAGGGTAGGGTTCCACAGCTGATTTTTGTAATTGCTGTCAATAAGCTGTACGTCTGAAAAAGTTGAACTGCAAAGGTTGTGTGATAGACATATTTACAGCAACCACAAAAGAAAAAAAAAAAAAAAGAGTAGCTGCTGAGGCTGCTTAAATACAACCAAACACCTCATGGGATTTGGTTGCTTGGTTTGGAGGTCTAGGGTCATGGTTTCATGGGCAATCCCAATTAATCAGCTTAATAACATGTTTAGTGCTGCTGTTCTACCTTCTAGTTCATTACGTAGTGCCTGGGGTCTTAAAAGCTTGCAAGCGGCTGTCCAAGGCACAACAATTGGTCTGTATTCACTTGGAGGAACAGAGGAAGAAGGAGAGTCAGGGACAGGAGGAGGATATGGAATGTATGGCTAACTGCCTCCAAGAACAATTGCCTCCTTTGCCATGAGGTCAGAACTGGATGGTCCCCAGCTACCATTACTGAACATTTTGATCAAAGGTTCCATAGAAGACTCCTGATCAAAAGGGGGGTAAATGAAGAACAGAATTTCAAATTCTCATGGACTCCAGACTTCCTGGAGCCATGAAGGGTGGATGAACCCCTGAAACTATTGCCCTGAGATAACCTTTGAACTTTAAACCAAAAGTATCCCCTGAAATCTTCTTAAAACCAAACAACAGTTTAGCTTAAACAGTAAATAAGCTCTGTCTTGATCATTATGCTCTTTTAAGAACTATCTATATGGGATAAAATTGAGAACAGCAACTTGAAAGATTAGATAGGAACCTTAGGGGGCAGTGAGTTTATATTAATGGGGAAGGAACAACTCAGACGAGGAGGGTGAGAATGGTTGCACAAGTGAAGAATGTAATTAATGCCACTGAATTTTCCATGTAGAAACTATTCAAAAAAAAGACAGAAAATGTTGACAGATTGTGATAAACGTAACTGATGTCACTGAAAATTTGTGTGGAAATTGTCAGATGGGAACCTAACCTGCTGTGTAACCATTCACCAAAAACTCAATAAAATACTATTTAAAAAAAAAATCATCATGGCATATTCTAACATTTAAATGGATAGGTCATTTAAACCACAGGCAAAAATAGGAAACACAGTCCCTATAAAATATTGTTTATTTTCACCTCTGAAGGTACCCAGCTCTGTTTCGCATCTGGCTGTATGAGCTTTAGTACAGAGCCTAAATCATACTTGGTAAAACAGTACAAAACAGCAACAACAAAAGAAAAAGTGAAACCACTGGTGAGTTTGAATGGAGAAATTGTTCAAAGGATAACATTGTACATTTGTAGTGTTAGGAAAAACGTTCATACCCTATCCAAAAAAAAGGAAAAGAGAAAGATGGGAGGAAGTAAAAGAAGGAAGACGAAAAAGAAACGTTACGTCTGTATTTGTCTTGTTTCCTAAGTGCAGAAAGGAAGGGCGTTCCATTCCTCCTCCCGTCTTCAAGGTGGCAGCAGTACACACCAGTGTGTGTTCTTTCCGCCATTCTGGAAGCCAAGTGGGGCTAGGTGAACACGAGACACGAGTGAGTGGAGGGAAGGGAGAGGTGGCGACACAGTTTTCACCCAGTCCTCTTCTGAAAGTCCTTCTTGAAGTCAAAATGCTAGAAAAATAGGTTTTGGGTTTTTTAATTCAATATTAACTCATTTGTATATAATTCATATCAAACTACATTGTTTGCAGTTACACTATGCATTGTTCCTGAGATGCCTGATTACAAAATGTCTTACTTCCCTATTAAATAAATCCCTTGAGGGTAGGACTTTTTTCTCTTTTTTAACCATGTTCCCTGGAGGTATAGGTAATGGCCCAAGCCAAGGAACAGAAAGTGCCGTAAACACTGCAATCGTGTTTGTATGGAAAAGCAAAGACCCACCCCCTACTATCCCAGGGACAGATAGTTCCCAACCTACGAGTTCCGTTGTCAAGTTCCATTCCAACAACTCCGTCATAAGTCAGTTTTGACACAGGTCAAATACATTTTTTTTTTTTGTTTTCGTTGTCATTGCCTTTTATTAGCAGTATCTTTATAAATCTGATCTTTATTTGTCTTTGGAGCTTGGGAACATTACCTATAAATATCTGTGAGTGAACATCTGAGAATGATAGCATCAGCAAATTACCAGCTATAACATTGTGTGTGCCATATTATTAACTATAAGATGTACCAAAAAAAAAATAAGACGGTCATAAATGCAGTTCATTGTAACTTGAATACAACATAAACTGGAGACTACCTTAGGCCTCAAGTGTTTCAACCCCACTTCTAAGTGTTGTGAGTGAATAGTGACCCTTCATCCTACAGTAGACATAACTGTCTCAATTTCAGCCACCAAAGCCTCTCCAGAACCCAAGAAACTCATGGCCCCATGCTTCCTTCCATGCTTCTCTCCCTGAGTATGCTCGTGCCTTCAGCCCTCTTTATGCTAATAACCCCCAAGTTGACCTCCAGCTCCTACCACACTCCAACCCACGCTCCTCAACTCCTCCATCTGATGATCTTCCAGGCACCTCGACATCGGCATGTCCAAACTCATAATCCACTATCGCTTCCCACTCTAATATATGTGGGAATGGCATCACTGCACCCAGTAACCCACACCAGAAATCCAGTTGTCCTTCCCAGCTTCCTCCCTCTGGCTCACTTTTACCTTAACTCAATCAGCAAATCCTAGGAAGTCTAACTCCTGTGCCTCTAGAATCTCCCCACTGCTGGCTCTCCCACGGCTGCACCAATGTGCCAGCTCTCATCGTCTTTGAGACCTGCAACAGTGGCCTAACGGGTCTTCCTCCAGTTTTACCCTTCTTCAACCCAGGCTCAATACTGTAATGGCAGAAAATTTACAAAACCACCAATCTAATCATGTCCTATCCCCTCTTAACCATTACTCTTAGAATATAACCCAAACTTCGTAATGAGACTCTGCTGCTCCCCAGGATCTGGCTCTAGCCAACTCTGCTGAATATCCACCCTTACCTCAGACCCTTGCCCAGCTTTCCCTCCATGGAACCATTTCCTCGCAGCCTCTCCCTTCTACCTCCACATGCAGTCCTCACTCACAGTATCTCACACACCTCCCTTACCCCACTCAGCCTTTGAGGTTTATCTTAAACATCACTCCCGCTGAGAAACCTAGTTCAGCTCCTGGAACTACTCCTACCCCAGTGGTTCCCAAAGTGTGTGCCCTGGGCAAGCAGCATCAGCACCACCTGAGCACTTGTCGGAAAAGCAAATTCTCAGCCTCTGCCAACCCCAAACCTACTGAATCAGAAACCCTAGGGGTGGGGCCCAGCAATATGTGCCATAGCAAGCATTAAGGGTGATTATGATTCCCGCTGAGGGCTAAGAACCTACCATGTGCTCCCCATGCAGCCTGCTCCTCCCCTCTTCCCCACCCCCAGTGATACTTGGCCTTGATGGCATATTAGAATTACCTGTGCAATTTCTAGACCAATACAAAGCCTGGGTTTCATCCAGAGATTTAAATGTACTTATCTGGAGTGGAGCTGCAGCACTGATATTTTTTCAGAGCCTCTTAGGTGATTCTGGAGTCCCTGGGTGGTGTGTTTATTTTATGTGTTCCACTGCTAACTGGAAGGCTGGAGGTTGGAGTCCATCCAGAGAAGCCTCAGACAAAAGGCCTGACAATCAACTTCCAAAAAATCAGCCACTGAAAGCTCTATGGAGCACAGTTCTCCTCTGACACACATGGGGTTGCCATGAGTCAGAGTCGACTTGACAGCAACTGCTGTTGGTTTACTGGTTAGATTATTCTAACACGCAGCTACATTGAGGAGCTCTGCCTTCCAAGAAGCTTACATTATCACAATTGCAATTTGATCTTCCTTTGATGTGGCGAGAAAAACAAACAAAAACAGACTCTCCCCTCTAGACTCTGAGCTCAGAGCAGGCTGGCTTCGTCTGTCCTGCTCACCGCCATATCCCTGGTACTCAGCACTGTGTCTGGGACCTGGCAAGTGGTCCCATCAATGTTGTAGAAGGAGTAACAGTGTGAATGCCTTGCGCCCGAGCTTTTCCATCTTTTATTTTTATTTGAGGATTTTCTCAGTTCTGGGTGGGTGCAGGATTCCAGATCCCAATCTCCAGACAGACTGTCCTTCAGGCCCCTCTGTCACATTTCCTAATAAAAGAGACTGAATGATATTCAATATTCAATAATTAATTTTCAGATCCATAAAGACAACTGAAAATAAGTAACAGTTATCTTTTATGTTCAGAGCTTTTGAAGCAGGAAGCAAGATACTTATTAAGAAGTAGTGCCCTGGTCACGGGAAAGCAGTGCAGGAGGCCAGAGACCGTGTATTGATATTTGTAATCTTCCATAATTCTAGAGACAGAACTGTTTAGGCATGGAGAAATGACTGTTCACAAAATGATTAGCTGAGATGCTGAGTATCCAATATATGAGACTGACAGTGCTGATCCAA